TTTTGATGTGCAGATTCCTCCAGGTTTCTTTAAGATGCCATTCCTGCTGCACAGTCACCTTGTGATGTGACGGGCAGCCAGAGGGGGGAGGATTCATTTGTTCAACACGGGGGTCAGACAGGGAGCTGCAGGGGACCAGGCCGTGTTTTGGGTTGTCTTTGCAAAACACTGAAATGATGAATTTGAATATCCTGTGGTGCCATTTACAGTAAATTTGCAGGGAACAAAAATGTTACAGAATGGACTGTGGTGAACTTGCTCTGCTGAATCCAGGCATAGCTTGCCTTGAAGCAGATTTTGCTTGCTCGTTTGTATCTAGTTTCTAACTCTTCTTGGAGCAGAAAATGAGCCATTTTTCTCTGAAATGAAAAGCTGTGTTAAAGCACCTCTGCTGAGGGTGATAACTCTCCTCCCAGAGACCATTCCATCCTCGGACAAGGAATTCCCAGGCTTCCAGGTTCAGCTGCAGAACTGCTGCCTTCAAAACATTTGTTCACTTTATAAATTTTAATTCCTGCCCTAGTTTGAGTGTCATGAGCACTTTCCTGAGACTTTGGGAATGTTTTTAATATACTGCTTCATTTTCTTTGTGACGGTGTCAATGCAACTTTGTGGAGGAGGAAAACCACATTGGCAGCTCACAGGTGGTACTGCACCAGTTGGGTTACTTTCTGTTTCAGTGAGCGCAGCAAGAATCCCAAAAACTTGAAGTTCAGGGAAAAGAGGAAGTTCAGCCAACATTCAGACCCCTCTCTTAGTAAGTTTTTTGGGTTTTGTCTCTCCAAAACCCAAGAATGATGATTAACTTGGCTAAACTCACAAGCACGTAACGTTCAAGGCATTATGTTTAGTTTCATGTTTGCATCTGGATGTCAGCTTGAGAGTTGAGCCAGATCTGTTTGTTATGTTCCAGTTTAGTGCCTGTGTGTTCCTGAAAGTTGTTTTGAGGTTTTGAGATGCTCAGTCTGGTGTACAACAATTCCCAAGGAAAAGCTGTGCTTGGAAATATTCGCTAGGTATGGAATTGAACATGGCTGGGGATGCTTGTTATGTGTGAACTGTTCTAACTAAAACTTGGGAGCTGCCTTGCTGTGTGACTCTTCCCTGGTGCCTCCTCTTCATTTCCATGGGAACAGATGGGCTTTTGTTGATAAGAGACCTGTTATCAAACTGGGGAAACTGCCTGGCAGCATTTGAGCCCCTCTGAGTGTAAAGCAGGGCCGACTGCAGACTGAGGACATCACATGGCGGCTTCAAATGCAGGGGCTAAAAATATCCTTCCTCCTTCCTCCTCTCAGGCACAGATGCCCCAGTGTGAAAGGAAGAGTCACTCTGGCATAGAGTGATTAGATCTATGGCAGCCTTGGGGACTGGATGCAAAGGAAAGCTTTATGTTTTGACCTATCCAAAGAGCAGCACTTTTGAACAGTTGAGATCAATGTTTTAGATGTTTTGCAGACTTTGAAGGCTGTCCAGTTTGGAGCAGTGAATCTTTAAGTTTAATTTTGTTACTTAATTTTACTTATTTGTACTTGAGGAAATTTTCAAAGCAAAATTCAGTGATGCACGTGGTACTTAGATTAAATTTTGTAGCTTTGGTAAGACCAGGAAATCTTACTGTAGTTCAGTTCAGAATAGTTATTTTTCTTAGAGTCATAGCACCGTGTTTTAAATATCCAGATTATAAATTTTAATCTGAATTATTATCTGGAAATCACTTGGAGGCCAGTTGGAGGTATGGGATAGATAGATTTACTGGATGGTTTTCTTAAAAGATTTTACAGAAAAAATAGTTTAGTTACTCAGTGAGTTCTTTCATTTTGATGGATTAATGACTTAAGAGAGAGCAACGTCAGATGTAAACATCAAAGGCAGATACACCAGTGCACAGGCTTCCCATGTGTGTTCCTGACTTACTTTTTATTTTGTGTTTCACTAATGGATATTAGTGGCGTAAGATTTTTTTGAAAGCCGAAATTTTCCAGGACTGTTCTGCAGTTGTCATGATAATAACTGCATAACTTCATAGCAGCCACCAGAATTCCAGGCCCGTGCACGTGACCGCAAAGTTGTCCTGAATTTGAGGCACTTCAGTGCAAGTCAGTTTTGCTTGACTAAGCATTGGGAGCAGCTCCAGCGGTGTCTGACAGTGTCAGAAAAAATGATTTTGTAGATCTGTGTTGGGGAGGGGACTCCTCTTGAAATGATACAGGAACACGGAGCTTTGGAAAGAAAACAGCATGTTCTGTTGCCTCTGGAAGAGTCAGAAAGGGGAAAACAGGGGTGTTTACAGGGTTGACCGTGTGTGTGTGAGCTCTCTGGTCCATAACACAGGGCATGGAGAGTTGGATGTCTGCCAGGGTGTGAATGGAGCTGTGACAGCTTGTTAAAATGATCCTAGAAAGGACAACGGGCTGTGCAGATAACGGCAGTCTGGGTGTGAAGCAGGAAAAAGTGCTGGGAGCAAACAAAGGCACTGAGGGGGGAGCTGTGGAGGGTTCACCACTGCAGCAGAAGTCCCCTGAACAGGCTGTACATGTAGATGTGTAGGCACTTCACCTCACTCTGCCTTTTATCCAGCTGTTTTTTTACTCTGGTCACAAAGCTCAATGCATCCCTCAGCACTGCTTTGGCTTCAGGCCAGGCATTAATGAGTACCCCAAGCCCGATGTGATTTGGCTCCTCCAAATCTATTAGCATATCTTCAGAGCAAGATAAAACTCATTAAAGTAATTTACATTTGGGCATTAGAATTTCTGATAATTTTTAATACCAACTGCCGAAAGCACAAAAATGTGGTAAGGTCCTTCAGATGAAACTACAATTTACCCATTCTTTTTGGAAAAGCAGACTACCATGTGCCTTAACTGCTCTCTGATGGTAATGAAACCAGTGTGTAGTACATGATCTTACCAAAGGTTTGATGGTGATAATGCACACCACTGTGTGAGATTTGGCTTCTGAGAAATCACATCAAAACGTGTCACGTTTGTGCTGTATTGTACGTGGTGAAAGCAGCTGAGGTACAGAACAGCCAAACTTCCTGGGCCTTCAAGCCATGTGCCGAAATCTTGACTGAGTAAGATCTGGGCTTCAGCTTGTGCCCTCCCTGATCTCTCTGCAACTCACTTTTTTACACAGTTGCTTTTGATCTCTGTCATCCCTGTTCAGTGTCCCAGAGCTCCTGCTGACATCACCCACCTTTATTCCACATTGTGGAGGAATCAGGCTCTGCACAGATCGCCCTTCTATGGGCAGGGCAGTGGGTGGGACGTTTGTTTGCTTGCTCCAAGGCAGCCCAGCAAACATCAGCTGATCCATGTCAGCTCTCCCCGTGTGAGCTCTTACCTCAGAGCCTGTAACAGAGCCACGCTTGAACTGCTCGTGACCTGTGCTCAGATTATTCCTTCTCAGTGACTGAACTCTGTTGTGCTCGCTGGAACAGAGCTTGTAAATAAATACAGGGAAGCCCAAAGCAGTAACTGCACCAATGATAGCTTGAACTTTCCAACTGTGAAAGTACGTGGGATCTTTTAAGTATTAAAGTCTCTTCAGCTGAAAATATCCTGAAATGGGCCATAAAGGTGCATATCTTTGCTCACCTCAAGTTCTGTAGATGTATCCCTGCTACTGTGCTAGTTCCCCTGTGGAAGTGCTGGCACCTGGGGAATGCACATTCCTATCAACCTCTTGGGTTGGGAATTTAGGAGCATCCAGGTAACTATTATCCTTGTGATTCACTGAGGAGATTCACATTTTGCTCTCTTTGTCCTTTACCACATTTCATTTCAGTAGGTGTTGAGGGTTTTCTCTGTCATACCTATCAGTCAGCAGTGAGGAAGATTTAGGGTGTTGGTGTGTCACGTGTTTTTGAAAGGCAGCAAGCACTGATCTTTAGAGTTTAATTTTCTGAAGCACTCCCAATCAACTTGTAAGAATAAGACCGGCCCTTGCAAATTCTTGTCTGCTTTTACTTTCTCTTTTTTTTCAATTCCTCTCATCATCCTTCAAATAAACAAACATAGTGACATAGCAAAAGAATTAGTTTGGGGTTTTTCAGGATACCTTCACTATAACTACGTGTGCATGTAGCGTGTGATCTCTGGATCTGTGTTCATGTTGTCTTTCTCTTTGCATTTCCTCATCTTCCTGCACTCAGGCAATGCTAATCATGTGATACTTCTGTGACTTGAGGCTTTAAGTTTCTATTTTTTAACTCAGATCTTGCATTTTGTTGCAAAGTTAAAGATCCTCCTGAGAAAGCTGAGGAGGAATGAAAGTGCTTGAGGGAAACCTTTGCCATGGTCCTTAATTTTAAAGAGAAGGGGACAGGTTTTCTGTAGTGTTTACTTCCAACACCAAGTAAAATCATCTTGAGGAGAGGTAGTTTCAAACTATGACATGGCTTTGTTTTACAGAACATAGAACTATATTGGAAAGACTGCTTTGAGTCAGTGTACCAGACTTGCCTATTGACAGAAATTCAATGAAAAATAAAGCACCGAAGTACTTGGAGCAGGTTTGCTTTGAAGTATCAATTTGTGCTTTTTAAAGCCACCTTTTCATGTGGCTCCTCTCTTGTGACTCGTGATCTTTTATTCATTTTAAAATTACACTAAGAAAAGTATCCCCTTGAAAAAATGAAAAGAAGAAACTTTGTTCATCTGTATTTGCTGTTTGAATGTGTTTCTCTTTTTTAGTGTAAAATGTGCTCAACAGACAAATCACTGTTTCTGATGCCTTATTTAAGCTGCTTTTAACTTGCATTGGCAAAACCAGCTGAAACTGCCAGTTGTATCCAGCTTGGGCCTCTTCTGGTGTTTGTTCATGACAGTTCTGAACACTCCTGAGGTGCAGTGGAACAGACACCACCACCATTTTTACAGGTTCATCTCACAGGAGCAGTTTTGAAAGAAGGGTGGGAAGAATAACCTGGTACCCTCATCAGTTTTGGTGTACCTTGAACTGTGCTAAGCTTAATCTTTGTTTGCTTCCTCCAGGTTTTGAATGAAGAATGTGATCAGAATTGGTACAAGGCAGAACTCAACGGAAAGGATGGCTTCATTCCCAAGAACTACATAGAAATGAAACCACATCCGTAAGTTGAACTCTGGGGAGAGGCTCCCTTGCTCTGACTTTGCACATCCTCTCAAACAGAAGGAAGTTTTCTGCTAAAATGTAACTTACAGCTCTACCCAAATGTATGGGCAGGTAAAGGATGGCTGCTGAGTTGTCTCTGGCTGTAGTGTTTGTGTGACTCCTTTCACAGCAGCTGCATAGCAGGGTATTTTGGGAAGCTTTTCTGGTGTTTTTTAGGGTCAGAACCTTGAGGTTATCAGGCATAAACCAGCAGAAAACTCTTTATTAGAGAGTTGTCACCACCACTGCCCCAGAAAAAGAGTGTTTTGTGGTTTTGTCATGCTCTTCTATTTTACCCGCTGAGCAGCTAAGAGTAAAAACCATGGCACTCACAGCTCACCAGAAAAGTGTTTAAGGATATTTGGGGCTGAATTTGTAGTACGTCTGTCACATCCTCGGTACAGAATCACAGAATTGTTTAGGTTGGATAGGACTTCTAACAGTCGTCTGATCCGACACCTTCCTCGCAAGACAGGCCAACCTCAAAGCCTGTGTGCTGTCACACAAGTGTCCTTTGCTGCTCCAGGGAGCTGCCCTTGAGTAACTACTGTGAACATCTCTTGGATATAATGAATCCAGCATATGAAAACAGTAGCATTTCATGACTGGGTGTTTTCTTTGTGTCAGTTCATGTATTTCTGCTGTCTGCTACTAAACTCTGGTTCTGCCAGCCTTTGAGATCCTGCAACATCTGAACAAGAAAACAGCAAGCTCTGGGTAACAGATTCAAAGGGGAGAGAAAGGTTAGGAGGGAGCAGCAAAACCTGTAATCAAGGTTTCTGCAAGGAGCTGTAGTGTTTCATTTGCTCACAAAAACTGATGATTGATTTAAGTGTTGGCTGTCATTATATAATGAAGATACTGCAGTTAAATGCAATCAAGGATTATTTTTCCAAGGGCTCTTTTGAAATAGCAGAAGGAAGCTTCTGAGGGGCTGTGCCCCAAGAAGGGAGGTGTAATACTTTACTGCAACCAAGTGGGAAGTGAAGCAAGGACACACAAGAAAATTCTAAACTTGTTTAAAGCCTTGTTTTCTGCAGTAACATGTCTTGTTTACCCTGATTGTGCCACTGGGGATCACAAATTCACATTGCAATTTCTCTCTCATTGATTTGATGGTTGCATCTTCTCACAACAGTTTTGCAGGCATTGGAGCTGTACTGTGGTGTTGTCTCCTGTGATGATCAGTTTATTCTGTGATCATCCAAGGTATTTTGTTTTAGAGGGATAGAGCTGTCAGGTTTTCACTTTTTTTGTATCAAAAGGGAATGAACAATATCTGAGCCTGCAAGTGGGTGAATTTGGACGTGGGTTTTAAGCACAGTTAATTTGATCTTATCTGAAGATGTTTAAACTGCTGATGGCATCTGGATGGAGTCAGCTCCATGTGTCAGCAATGCTGGGAGTCTTAACTAGTGCATTAACAACCCTGGGAAATTGTGCAGAAGTTTTTATAGCATAATGTTGGCTTAGCTGTAATGCAGAGCTCTCTAGTCATACAGGTCATATAAAAAGCAAACTGCAGGCAGCTTACCAGTCACAAAGAGAATGTTCCTTTTCTCAGACTACTGTCAAATCATTTAAAGAGGTTTTTGGAAGAAAGCGACTTAAAATGGCTTTAAAGCCTATCCAAGGATCCAAGACTGAAATCCTCCAACCACACAGCTGGTATTAAATGCAGAGTTTCCTCTTGCATTTTGCAAATCTTACAGTTTGCTTTGTAACTACCAGCAAACGAAGCTGAAAGGAAAATGTGGCACCTGTCGGTCACCAGCCGAGTCCCCTGGGCTCTGAAGGGTTAATCTGAATTGCCACCTCAGTTAACAAAGCAAAGATGTGAGCAGAGATAGACAGGACACTCAGGGAAGAGCTGCAGGAAGCTCTGGGCAGGGAGGTTCCTGTGAAGGCACAGCAGAGAGTTCAGTGACAGGACACCTTTCTCTTGAAGGGGGAAGGGGAAGAATTTGCTGTTTATGAAACCCCACGAGTCTGATCCAGGCTATCTCAGGTGTTTGTGTTCATAACCAGCTTGTCCTGGGGATACTGCTGAGGTCTGACTCTGCAGCTTTGTGATTTCTGGGGAGGAAATGGGCCAAGTGAAATGGTTGTGAGAAGTGAAGCCAAAAGAATTGCCAAACTGCCGATGGAAGGGAGGCTGGAAGCAATGAGAACCTGTGTTGTACCAATCCGTGCATCTCCCTCTGGCTCTGCAGCATCAGCAGGAACGCCTGGATTTGGTTCTGCAGTGCTGACTGGCTGAGTTTCAGCTCCATTGCAGAGCTAGTTGGAGACAAGTGTTATCAGGCTTGGCCCTTCAAGCTCTTGGGAACATGGTGGTCACTTTGCCTAATTCTCCATGTGGGGTTTTTGACATGCTGTGATTTTTGTTCATTTTTTCAGACAGTTTGTAGCAAAGAGTCATACGTGCACAGCACTTCTGCTGCTTTTCAAGTGTGCTTTAAAGTAGACATTAGTCCTGCAAAGTAACTTCCTTTGTTTCTTCCTTCTGTGGGACTTCTTTTCATCTTTTTAGCCAGGTTCTTTTTCTCTTGCTAATGGGATAGTGAAGCCATAAAACTGCAAGGAAGTTCAAGAATTGTGAAAGTCTCTCTATTTCAAGTGCCTTAGAAGCAGCTGGCAGAAAACTTCAAGAGTTTTGAGTACTGTCACTTTGGAAGTGTTAATTCTTTTAATCAGATAGTACAATTCTACTTTGTGGTGATTCAGTAAAATTTAGGGGGGAAATAGGGGTTGTACTGCTGAGCCTTCAGGAAGGATTCTGTTAAGCTCTTTCAGGCTTTCCTTCTATTTTACAGACATGGGTGAGGTGGTTTTTTGTTTGTGTTTTTTTAAGATGAGGCTTTCACTTTCAAGTCATATGTGACTAATTGAGAATTATTTGAGAACTGAACAGGATCGAGACATTTTGTAAACAAGAAATATGGTGAGATACCGCAAATCATTATATAAAGCTTGCTTTATGTAGCATCTGGCAGAGGCAGAATTCAGGACTTCCTTGTCTTTGTGACAATAGTGCCAAAAGCCCAGGAAAAAAATACATTACCTTTGAATTCTGAGGGAGTTTCACATAATGGGTTCTCTTGGTTGATTTTTGAGGCAGCAGAGTGCAGTGAGGGGCACCTCTGCCACCACCTCAGGTACCCAGAAGCAGCACAGGTGCTAAACCAGCCAGAAAGTACAAAATGCCAGGAAGTTCTTTATCACTGGAAATAGGATGGTTAAGGGAGAAAGATTTCTGGGGTTTAAAAAGTACACAACGAGAGTTTCAAGCAAGTTAAGCATGTCTGTTAATCGAGAAATCAGTCCTCCTTCCCCCCTAGAGATAGTTTCCTCTTAGACAGAAATATCTGGTGACTTTGTGACTTCATGAAAGCCTCAACTTCTCTTAAGAGCCACTGTTTCGGGAAGGATTCTGCAACTCCTGTCTTGTTGCTGCACCAAACCCTTCACTGCAGACAGTGTGAGTAGAGCTCTTGTTATGAAATGCTCTCCTCTGAGGTCAGTCCTCTGTGTGGTTATGGGCTGTGATAAGTGCTGCTGTCCTGGGTGATCTGGTACCCAGAACTGAAAGCTCCACTTTTTAGTCGTGAAGATGGTTCTGCTTTTGTCATACCATGTGACAGTCCACTGAGCCCTTGTTTGGCTTTAATCTTGGTTTACTCTAGAAATGCAAATGTAGATGTGGGTGAGGATCCTGTGACCAGGGCTGTTGGTCAGTGCTGACGATCGATCGGGTGGCCTGAGGGAGGTTCAGCCTCAGTGTTATGGTTGGCCTGTGGCTGGTGAGAATTTTGGATTTGGCTTCCACAAGGCAGCTACTTCATGTGACTCCTTCTGTGAAAGCTACTGGATTGTCCAGCCTGTAGGAGAAAGCAAGAAAAGAGGCTTCTGAAACAAGTATCCACCAGCACCTTTCCTGTAATGGAATCGTGTGCCTGGCTCAGATTCCTCTGCAATGAAGCAGAGACCTTGAAGGAACTTTTCTCACTTGGTCTGTGTGTAACTGCTCTCTTGGCACCTGCCTCAGCTTTCTGACAGATGATACTTGTCTTGGACCACAGTACTCTGGTAGGGCTCAGAAAGATTGGACTGAGCTGCAGGAGCAAACAACTGCTGGATGAAGATATTGATTCTCTCAGTGAAGTAGTTGTGTCTTTCCACCCGATCTAAAAGAGAATAGAAATTGATTTTTATACAAAATGCACTTTCCACTTGTGCAGGATGGGTCAGTGCATAGACATGATCTTTCTATAGCTGTGATGTTTCTTGTTCTTCCATGAAGGGATTAAAATTCTTAACTTTTCCTGTTGTTTTCTTTTCCTCCCTACGCAGGTGGTTTTTTGGAAAGATTCCCCGAGCGAAGGCTGAGGAGATGTTGGGCAAACAGAGACATGATGGTGCCTTCCTCATCAGGGAGAGTGAGAGTGCTCCCGGGGACTTCTCCCTCTCAGTCAAGTAAGTCATGCCCAGAAGCAATTATGTGGTAATCAGGGATCTGCTGCTCCTTTGGACTGGTGAGCAAAGGGCAGGTAATTGTCAATGCTGAGGAGCAGGAATAATTTTCCAGATGCCTGCCCCACAGCATTTCTCTTCTTCTAGTGATGTTTATTCCCTGTCTAATAGAACAAATATCTGTGCTCTGGTTTGCAGTGATCCCACAGGACTGACCTGGTGGCACATGGCTCATGTAGTCCCAGGCACTTCTGAAGAAGGGGAGGTTTAGATTGGATGTTAGGAAGAAATTCTCTGTGAGGGTGGTGAGGCCCTGGCATAGGTTGCTCAGAGAATTTGTGGCTGCCCCATCCCTGGAATGCCGGGTTGGAGCAACCTGGTCTAGTGAAAGGTGTCCCTGCCCATGGCAGGGGGTTGAAATCAGGTGATCTTTAAGGTCCCTCCCAAGCCAAACCATTCTATGGTTCTGTGATCTGAAGTCACTGTATAATAGAGGCATTAGGAACTTGAAAGGGCATGTGATGTAATTTAACGTGGGATGGGGGTCAGAGGGAGTTTGTTGACTTTGGCTTTTTTTTTATTATTTTCTGTAATCTTTCCCTTTCCTACCATAAATAAACAAAATTTTCTTTAGAATCCTAACAACATTTTTTATTATTCATACGCAATTCCTGGTTGGCTGTATTTTCTGTGGCTGTCAGTGATCTGTCTCGACAAGGTTTGTTTGTTTTTCTGGTCATCTTTGGTCTGTAACCAAATTTTTGTCCTGCTGCACAGCAGCACTGAGTCATGCCAAAAAACTGGATTAAGGCCCCTGAATTTAGAGATGTTTATATTTCTGTCTTGGTTACAATCATCTGAGCTGGAATATTGGATATGAATGGAAGCTTCCTTCCAGAAAGTGCATTCCTTTAAGAAACAGAAAGTTACAATGACATGCTCTGCCTTCCTGTTCAGCTTAGTGTTGCCATCTGGTGGTAATGTCTCAGTTGTGTGGTTTTTTTCTGTTTGTATAATTTAGAAAAGTCCTTTTCCTAAACGGTGATCTGTCGGATTTTAAATGGTGAGAAGCTCCCAGGCTGAGGAAGGCAGAGCAGAGGCAGCTCTCACAAGTTGTTCCATGTCACCTTTTTGTAGCCAAAGCAGTGGCTGCTTCTGCAGCCGATGTATGGAAGCTGTGCATGCCAAGTGGGAACAGTTGTCTTCTGTTTTCAGTGTTTTAGGCTGAAGTAAAAATACCGACGTGCCATTCATCTGGAAAATCCCAGTGGACCTCTTTGGAGTTCCTCTTTATTCAGCATAAAACTGTTGGAAATGTAGCTTCAACTGAATGCCATAATTTGTCAGAAAAAGTTGTTAACACAGAACTGAAGTTGCTTTGTTATGTGTGCAGCATCACCTTTCAGACATTCTGGGGTTTGAGGGGCTTTTGTGGTTTTTTGGATGGATTTTGGAGGGGGTTTTGTCAATTTTTGGTTTTGTTTTTTTTTTTTTTTTAAGGACCAGAGAGGCCTTTTT